CCACGATCCTCTTCCACGATCCTCTGAATCCACGATCCACGATCCTCTCCACGATCCTCTGAATCCACGATCCACGATCCTCTGAATCCACGATCCTCTGAATCATGATCCACGATCCTCTGAATCCACGATCCACGATCCCTGATCCATGATCCACGATCCTCTGAATCCACGATCCACGATCCTCTGAATCCATGATCCACGATCCTCTGAATCCATGATCCACGATCCTCTGAATCCACGATCCACGATCCTCTGAATCCACGATCCACGATCCTCTGAATCCATCCACGATCCTCTGAATCCACGATCCACGATCCTCTGAATCCAATCCATGAATCCACGATCCTCTGAATCCACGATCCCGAATCCACGATCCACGATCCTCTGAATCCACGATCCACGATCCTCTGAATCCACGATCCACGATCCTCTGAATCCACGATCCTCTGAATCCATGATCCACGATCCTCTGAATCCACGATCCTCTGATCCACGATCACGATCCTCTGAATCCACGATCCACGATCCTCTGAATCCACGATCACGGATCCATGATCCCGATCCTCTGAATCCACGATCCACGATCTTCTCTCTCCGTTTTCGCTCGCGCGCAAAGTCACAATGCCCAGTGGTTGGTTGCAGCTTATATATGTACATTTATGTGTGTGTTTATGTATTGCCATTATTGTTATTATTATTATTATTATTATCATTATTATTGTTATTGTTGTATGATTCGTTTTATAATAAAGTCATCAAAAACATTTGGTTTTCATATGCCATGTCTTTTTTTATTTATTTTACGTCTTTATTATGCCATGTCTAAGCTGCAACATATGAATGACAAAACTAAATTCACGTAGAATATATGATATAGGCCTACAAACAATCGCTGATAATCATCGCCTGCAAAACATGTCCAATATGCAAATCGTTCAACGTGCCGCCATCGGAAACTACTCAAGTATCTGCTCATTTACTACCATTTTCTATTATCTATGTCCCTGCCTACCATGCTCTAATTCCCCCCGCCCCCCTTGCTCTCAGCTCCTTCCAGGTGACGTCAAAGCTGCGCAGAACTCCGAAGTGACGAGACCTGTACTTATATAGACCTTGGTTGAGGGTGTGAGGCAGGGTCAAGATTGGCCTCCCTTTTATCCGGCCAGAGGGGGCGCTAGGGGCGCAAACAGGCGTGGGTGAAGCGAGGGGCAGTGAGCGTGGGGCACGCACATGGCGCCCCTGCCACACCACGAGGTCTAGATGTGGACATACGTGGGAAATAGAGAGAGAGAGAGAGAGAGAGAGAGAGAGAGATAGGCAGATAGATAGATAGATAGATATAGATATAGATATAGATATAGATATGGATGGATAGATCATATGTGAAAGATACAAGAGACGAGTATAACTTCTCGGGAGAATTGACATCAAGCTTGAAGAAGAGACTAGACATGTAGGAAATACAGTTAGGATAGTACTTTGGAAGGATAATGATACAGGTACGTTGATAGGGAGATGACTGCACTGTAGGGATCTGGTACTGAAGGCTGAGATGCCACAAGTTCATAGGTATGTGGTCAAGGGGGGTGCCTCCTCGAGAATACGTGGCACCTCCTGCATCCCAGCGAGTAAGGTGCTTGTGCTGCATGAACTTAATAATAGTATTGGAACATCCACCTAAAGCAGGGTTCCGAGCGTTAAAAATCACCCATATATACTGATGGACCATAACAATCTTTCTGGGGCAGAATAGACACTGCAGAGACGAATCGCTCCTTCTGCCAACTTAACCTCGAGGAGTTGAAAAGTTGTATAGTCATCATCAGATGTACGGAGTAGTCGGTGGTGAACAGAGGAATGAGCCCATTTCTAACATGTGAGTGGGTGCTGCAGTTCCAAGAGCATGTCCAACAAAAGCCTCTTGTATAAAGTGAGGTAATGTTGGCTGGAGACGTTACACCATACGCATTCCAAGAGAGAACATGAAAATCTGTTACTAGAGAACATTACTCTAATTCTTGCATGAGCCAGGTGATGGGAGGCATGGGTAAGTTATTGCTTCGGAGCGAGCCACGAAAAATAGGTCCCACTGTGGGAGTGGTGAATGTTTCTCGGTAAGAGATGTAACAGAAGTGATGACCTGTTGGGCTTCTATGAGGAACTTGAATGTTGTGTTGTTAGTTGCCAGTTTAGTAGAAAGATCAGTAAGTGAGGCTGCTAGATTATCAAAGCGCGTCTCAATGGCGTCAAAACGGGCCTTAGTGGAGTTGAGGAGTGCTGCAAGGGAGTCACGCAGCGAGTAAAGGGAGTCAACAGCTTTTTGAAGTGCAGACACCTGTGTGGGAGCTGGACCGGAATCTGTAGGGCAGGGCGGTGCAGGAGTGGGCAGTGATGCATGTGTAGGCATATGTGAGGCTGTAGAGTTAGGATTGTGGGGGATGTGATTAATATGGCATTTTCAGTTCAGTTGGAAACTTCGTTAAGTCACGTTTTAAAATAATGTTCCCAGGGTGATGCCTGGGAGGAAATTTGGTTCTTTTATTCCTGTGAAATAGCATATAATGGGTCTAGTCTACCTTGCTCATTTAGCCAAATCCACTTTCTGATACTGATTAATTCATTATTTGCTACATTTATTAATTTTTGTATAGACCTGCTTGAAGAAAATGAGTATGTATCGTCTGCATATATAGAGGAGATTACTATATCATTGACATATATTTGAAAAAGAACAGGGCCCAGAACCGAACCCTTGGGAACACCGTGGCCAGTATGATTTTGATAAGATATGTGCTTCTCAAAAAAATTAATTAATTAATAAAATGCCTCCGGTTTGTTAAATATAAAGCAATCCAATCACATAATTTACCATGGATACCAATATATATATGAATCTTTACGAACATGGTTTATCATATAGAGCCTGATATTTTTTCGACTTTTATTCAATTATAAGCAACATATTTAGCATATCCAAGAAAAACCTGACCATTATTTTAACATTATAGAAAAGTCTTCCATGAATTAAATTCGTTTTCTTTGAAATGTTGTCGCCTCAAGGAAAATGTAATCTTCAACCAGGCACTTTACTAACTGGGTTGATAAAGGCAGCAGTTATAAATGAGTTCTTGATCTCATGACGGAAAAGTACTGTATTTTGAAATATAAATGTAACAAAGGTATTTTAAAAAAAAAAACAATAAATAAATAAATGGATAAATAAAATCAAGGGAAAAGCAAGATAGGGGTGTTCATAAATAAGGATGTCAAGTAAAATAACGTTAAAAGGAGCGAGACAGCGAAGGATGCAGAATGGGAAGTCACGATGAGGGAGTTGCCGCTAGATAGAAGATGTATCACTTTACTCCAATTTTCTTTCGCTGTTAAACGACAGGGTTACCGACATGACTGTGAATAATACGTATCCGACGCGATCGCCAGGATTTCGGTGTTGTAATATAATAATCTCCAAAATCTAATTAAAGTGCTGACGCTGTAATGGGTAATAAATAATAATAAATAATCCGAAGTGTGTGTGTGTGTGTTTGTGTGTCTGAGTGTGTTTGTGTGTGTATGTGTGTGTAGGCATATATATACATATATACATATTCATATATATATATATATATATATATATATATATATATATATATATATATATATATATATATATATATATATATATATGAATATATGATATATATATATATATATATATACATATATATATATATACATTACACGTCAGAAGCATCGGCAATCTGGCATCCTCTTCCATTGAGAACACGAGGGAAGAGTCCTTACTTTTTTCTCTTCTTTTCTTGTATTTAAAACCGTAGAGCTGATTAATTTCTCGCATCTTGTAAGGTTCTTTGGGAAGCCTAGGAATAGCTTTTCTAATTACTATTTCTATTTCGCACCATAAATCACTTGCTCTACAGGGGATGTCGACTATGTAAGCAGGAGAGAGAGAGAATAATAATCATAATTCAGTTTATTCCATTTCTCACAATGGTTATTGTTTGGTATGATAGGTTGTTAGTGTGGGTCCTTCTTTTAACTGCACTATATAGAAGCGGCTGAGGAAACTAGTACAGTGGTTGATTTTTTTCCAGCACCAAACACATTAAATAAACAGAAACCATGCTTCTTTATACTTTACATAAAAGGACATGAGCTTAACGCAAAATTGCAATGAGTCGATGCTTGCTGATGAATTACGAAAGAATGTGTATAATCATAAGTCTTTGCGTTTCGCACCCACATTCGAACAGCTGAACAAGAAAATACGTTTTCTTGTTTGATCTCAAGCAACTACTAGCTAGTGATTCCATTATTGTAGCTGCCGCTACTATCATTCATATTCTTTTTATTCACCAAACAGGTTCTAATAATCCTCTTGGGATTGTAAGAAATGTAGATAAAGTACCTTTCCACCCTTACTTCACATTTAAAGATATTACTGGATTTATCGTTATATTAGCCGCTTTAATTTTATTAACCCTGCTTAACCCTTATCTTTTAGGAGATCCTGATAATTTTATCCCTGCCAATCCCTTAGTCACTCCTGCACACATTCAACCAGAATGATATTTCTTATTTGCCTACGCTATTCTCCGTTCTATTCCTAACAAGTTAGGAGGAGTCATCGCTCTTGTTATATCGATTCTTATCTTACTTGTTCTACCATTTACTCATGCTGCCAAGTTCCGAAGCCTAACATTTTACCCATTGAATCAAGTTATATTCTGATCTTTAGTTAGAATTGTTTTCCTTCTTACCTGAATTGGAGCACGACCGGTAGAAGATCCTTATGTCCTTACTGGGCAGATTCTTACTGTTCTCTACTTCTCTTACTATGTCATTAACCCTCTAACTCTTATTTGATGGGATAAAATACTAGATTAAGTTGTTTGGCTGATAGGAAAGCACGTGTTTTGAAAGCTCGCAATAGAGGTTCGAATCCTCTAATAACTTTATTTCTTAAAAGAGTACATTTATAATATAAAAACGAAACAGATAGACTTTACTCCTATAAAAAAATCAAATAATTTAATGCTACCGGTAACGTAACGAAAACGAGGCAACGTCCCCCGGACTCATACAAAAGCAAACGCTACTATTACAAGCTTTACATAATAAAGAGGTCTCAGCAGATTCCCCCCTAGAAAAATTAAAGAAAATAACATTCTTATAAATAAAATTCTTGCATACTCTGCTATAAAGATCAAGGCAAATCCCCCTCTTCTGTACTCCGTATTAAACCCTGACACTAACTCAGACTCTCCTTCTGCAAAATCAAAAGGAGTCCGGTTAGTCTCTGCTAAACAAGAAGCAAATCAAATTAAAGCCAGCGGAAAAGTAAACCATAATAGTCACACATCTCGCTGATATAAACTAAATAATCTTAAATCAAACCCTCCTACTAAAAAAATGAATGACAGTAGAATCAAAGCTAATCTTACCTCATAAGAAATAGTCTGGGCTACCGCTCGCAGGCTTCCTAATAAGGAATATTTAGAATTTGAAGCTCACCCTGCTCTTATAGTCGTATACACTCCTAGACTTGTACAACATAGAAAAAACAAAGTTCTCATACTAAAATTTATTAACCCCAGTTCATACGGCATAACTAGCCATACAATTAAAGACACAAAAAGACTAAAAACAGGAGATAAGTAATAAGGGAGAAAATTTGATATAACCGGTAGAGTCTGTTCTTTAGTGAACAACTTAACAGCATCGGCAAATGGTTGTAACAACCCTATAAATCCCACCTTGTTGGGACCCTTACGGATTTGAATATAACCCAAAATTTTACGCTCTAGTAATGTAACAAACGCAACTCCTACTAAAACACAAATAATCAACAGTAAGTAATTAATAACTATAATTAATGTTATCACAGTATTACCTGTGGGATTAACACCCACATTATTGGATCCTAAGTCCAATGCATAATTCTGCCAAAGCAACAGACCGATTATACTTATACATACAAAGCAAGAATTATTCCAATTACCTAATCCTTTCGTACTAAGATAATTTTTATAAAATTAAGAGATAGAAACCGACCTGGCTCACGCCGGTCTGAACTCAAATCATGTAAGGATTTAAAGGTCGAACAGACCCTCCTTTATAACTGACCTAAAAGTGAAAGAACAAGCTAGGATAAAACTTTCCATAACATGTTATTAAAGTTAATTTTATAATCTATATTTACTTTTATTTATGTAATATTTTTTGTAATATTTATATTAAAAATAATATCATTTTAAAATAAAACTAACTTACACTTAGAATTCAATCTTCCTCTTTTTTCCCCTTTTTTTGTATAAAATATTTATATACTGGTACTGAAAGTGCTGTAAAGAGTAACATAGAATGGTCTTGTGGCATTCTCTTCTAACATCAACGGCTCCTGTTGCTGACTAGGCTGTTGGCGCTGGCATGGCTTACAGGCACGAACGGTGTTTGCAATATCTGCATTAATGCTTGGCAAAATGACAATCTGTTGTGCACGACGCTTTGCAGCCTCCACGCCACAGTAGCTGTCCAGCAGCAAGGATGCGACGACGGAAAGCAGCAAGGAAAACCTTCAAGGCCCACACAGCGCCGGGTCACCCTCGTTGTACAACTCATTACGTATTTTCCAGAACGGACGCAGGACATTTGATAATGATGTTGAATAGTTAATTTAAAGGTTCTCATTACTAAAGAAATTAACTGTTTGGTACCATCGCTGAATCCTCGGTCACAACCGGCCGTACTTCCACGCTACGGCAAAAAACGCTAAGGAACTCACGGGCAACGCAGGTTTTTCTTGCGGAATTTTGAGCTCGCAGACTGTCCGTAAGCACGTACTATGGTTTTGACTATGCACATAAACCTCTACGACTTCCAGAGAAGAGGCAAGGACGCACGTCGCCCTTGCTCCTGACGCAAGGAGCAAGCGAGGAATACGCAGGTCAGACGTGCGTTTTTCTTTTTATTTATTTATTTTTGTCTTTTATTTATTTATTCATTTATTTTTCGTGGAAATAAAACCGCACGTCGCCGCAAGGTGGACGCAAATCGAGTGTGAAATAAGACGGGCGCAACGCAGCGTACAAAATTAACCGGACGTCCGAACACAGCTGGGGTATAGCCTCTCCCTCACTCATAAAAGGAAGCACATACCTCTCCCTCACACATGAAAAGAAACACATGTAGCTCCCTCACTCATGAAGGAACACATGTCTCTCCCTCACACGCACACACACACACACACACACACACACACACACACACACACACACACACACACACACACACACACACACACACACACACACACACACACACACACACACACACACACACACACACACACACACACACACATATATATATATATATATATATATATATATGTGTGTGTGTGTGTGTGTGTGTGTGTGTGTGTGTGTATGTGCGTGTGCGTGTGAGGAGAGACATGTGTTCCTTCATGAGTAGCTACATATATATATATATATATATATATATGTCTGTCTGTCTCTCCCTCTATCTATCTATTCATCTATTTATCAATCTCTGCACATGCAAACAAACATACACACACACACACCCATATCTGTATATGTAATTCATATTACTCTCATTAATAGTCGAGGGAAATTTTGTGTATTATATAACTGCACTAATAATGACGAGCAAGCGAAAGATTGAAACACCTTTTTGCAATATGAACTATTAAACTTTTTTCTCATTTCTTAGCTTCGAGCTTCTCAGTAAAACTTCTCTTGTTAATTAACGACGGTATAAGTAGCTTAAAGTTTTTCCACGGCATAATGGACCGAGGGCTTTTATAGAGATCTGATAAATATAACATCTTAGATAAATTTATTTGATGCATTCTTCTTATAATAAGAATGACCAGCTACTTAATTCAGTACTCATACACCCACACACACATACACACACTGTCATTGGTTTGTGTTGCGAATCCCCACGTTGTTGGTCCAAGGTAACGCACGTCTGGTCGCAGTCTTTATTGGAGATGGTCGCGCGGTCGAAGGTTGAAGATGTACAGTAAGTGTCGCGCTGGCCAGAGATAGGGCCGGCAGGGGCCTGGAGTGGTGGCCCCCAAGTGGAAGCAGCGTCCGAGCGGGACCGTGATTTGCGATAGAACGTTTTTATAGGTCAAGAAGGTCAGAGGTCGCGAGCAAAGGGGGCGCTACTCCTACGGTTGTGAAATCTTGGGTTGATATTTTTTAGATTTTCATTTTGGCATTTTTTCTGTAATTCAACTGTCATGGGACAGAGGAACATGCTTAGAGACAGTCCGCAAGCACACACTTGAACTGAAATTAGAAAAAGATGAAACTTTACAAGGGATAAGCATTGTGCGTACTTATAAGGAAGGAAAAGTGGTCGCAATACGCAATGGCAGTTTTGAACACAAACTCCCTTGGGAAGGAGGGAATGCAACAATGGAAAGGTCAACAGTGTGCTGTGCAAATAGTGCATACAGCATATATCTCCTTTTATTAAAATTGTCTATCACGTACACCAACAGCAAATCGAGGCAAAGCGACAGTGAAAAGGAGGCGATGCAATCATCGTATTCGCTCGGGAACGAATATGCTTGCTTGCTTGCTCCCGAAAAACATCCGGTATAATAAACAAAATGCAAGGCTAGAATACACGAATGGCGTAAGTCGATAAGCCACCGAAATTGTGCATGTTATTCTTGTGCAAATACCGTAATTGATTCAGGGAGAAATGATGTGCGGTAGTGGCTACGCGAGTGTGTAGGTGAGTGATAAATAGACGAGTTGAGTGAGCGAGTAAATGAGTGGAATTTATGAAATGTGTCAGAGTACAGAGCACGAATAAGAAATAATATAATATTAATGAATCGACAAACTGAGAGAAGGAGTAAATAAAAATTAGAATGGCCTGCAAGTTGAAATAAATAAACGAAGGGGAGCAGGAGAGGGGCGCTAGGGGGGTGGGCGGTGCTGAGGGAAGGGGGAGAGCGATGGTTATGATCGAGGATCGGGGGAAAATGGTAGCATGCAAGGAACATAAATCCCGATCTGGCTGCACAAAAGCACATTCATAATCATTCATGTTGCAATTATGTAACTATAATTCCATCTATGTAAAATCACAAAAAATGGTAATCTTTCGGTACACCAAACAAGTGAATTGTGATACGTCTGTTACGGAACAGACATAACTTGCAGAGTAATGCATAGTGCAAGTAAATTAGGTCAACTTCTCTTGGGATATCTGAGCGACCGACAAAAACAGTCCTCATGGTAGTGTCACATGTAGACTTAAAAATTCCCGGAGAAAAGGTGGTGTGAAGTTCCCCACCATGTTTCTGGTGTACCGCCGGGACGAGTAACGTACGCAACAAAAATATTACGTAAATTGGACATTCCATCCAATCGGGAAATACCACACACACACACTTACACACACACACACACATACACACACACACACATGGACACACACACACATGTGCTCAGTTTACATAGATTTGTAGAAAAGCACTGGGCAAACGGAACTCATCTGTGTGATACGTGTGTGTTTGGCCACGCGTAAGGACATTTCACTTAGATACTAATTATGTCCAAGAACCGTGTCGGGGTCGTCACCAGGAAACGTAATAATAGGATGAAATAACGTTCGAAATTGAGACTGACTAATGAAAGAATACCGTGAAAATCGGTCAGCATCATGATGACCATCTTGAGAAAGAAAGAAATGATCGCTAGAATAATCGAGGTAGTTTCACATGAATTGGTGAATTATAAGAAAGGACGAAAATCATGAATTATATGAAATCATGGTAGTTGATAAGATAAAATTAACATCTAACACTGAGGGAGAACGAAGATATAAATATATGTATATTGATAATCTGAATGTATCTTTCAGTCGAGGCGGAGTCAGAGCAAGGTCCGAGTGGGGTTAAATATCTGAATATTTTATATACAGGTTGACCAAGCGGATATTGAACATGGCAACTAGAAATAGCTGACATAGGCCGGGCCACTCTAGAGAACAGGCCCGGAGAGAGCTCGAATTGAACTGGATATTGAACCTAGGAATTCACACGGACAGATACGATCGAGAAGAACAGGTCACACGCGGGCAAACTAACCATTCTAACATGAGTGAGGTGAGAATTCACCAAGAACCAAAAATAACTCACTGGTATTGATTTAATTATTTAGAATATAAGAAAGAACTCTAAATGAATATCGCAACACAAAAATAAAGAGGGGAAATGTGAAAGGAGAGGGTATAAGGAGAAGTAGGGAATGGGAGCTAGGGTAGAAAGGGAGGTCAGAGAAAAAGAATGTTTGTCTGTAGATAACATTTATTGAAATATTTAAAACATAATAATTACCCAACATATCAAATCGAGTCAAAATTAATGCACTGAATAATGTACGAAATTCAGTCATACGGCATCGACAATAGCAATGGGAAATGATGATAATTGGAAAAAAATACATGCCTAGAACTTGTCCATACATTTTCGTGAATACGAATAATTTGCTCACTTAATGAAAAATTAATAGACTATAAATCTGTGCTCTTACCTAACATGACCGAGAAAGATTAAAAAAAAAAAAAACATTCGAAAAGACTACACTCGGGAGTGAAATAAAGATATTCTCCCATGACGAGGGAGTTGAAAGAAACATGATAGAAAATAAAGACAAAATGCACTAACACGGACACGCCTCAATGTAAGAAAAAAAAATCTGCACATATTGAAAAAAAGAGAATATTCTGCTCACATGGGATAGAAGAAAGAAAGGAAAAGAATTGCCAACGTTAGTTTCTTCTCGGAAAATAAGTGTAATTGAGAGTTGTTCGTGTCGCAACTTGAAAAAAACGACGTCCGATGTTGTCATCAATTTTTCTGGGCTTTCAACGGATATGCACGGTCTGGTGTATTATATGTTATTAATGGTAGTATGGGTGAAGGTTGTAGGTGCTGTGTTGGGTAGAGGTTGACCCAAGGAGGAGGCAGTGTCTGAAGTGACAG